ATTCCAAGAATTATTAACACAAATGGACACTATACAAAGACAATCAATAGACCAAAATTTACGCAAACTTGCAGAAACCGCAGGATTTGCCGATATCTACACGCAAGACTATAGCGGATATTTTAAAGACATTAAAGATTATATATATCTAAACGGTGAAAACTACCGTCCCCAAGATATATCACCAATTAACATTTTTAGCTTTGTTACACTCAAAAATGAGATCCTCGATTTTCTAGGATGGCCCTACTACATCTTAGAAAAATTGACTATTTTATACGCAATGTTTAACTTTATTGGATTTCTTTTCTCACTTTTAAAAGGAATCTACAACACATGTGCTATACACACACAAGTAAACAGACAAGCAAGCGTAGCACGCATACTCTTTGCAGGATTTTTTGGAATCTTTTCTACATCTATAAACAAAATTCTTTTAGACGCACAAATAAAAGAATATAACACAAAAATAGCAACACGACAAAATACATACGACGAAGAACATAACAATGTAGACATAACGCCAACGGCACCACAATTACCAGCCCTACCAAATAACCATCCACTATCCCTAGTCCCACGAAATTTTCGAAATTTAGCCATCACACATAATCCAAATTTTCAACTCACCACATCACAAAGTCCCATCCAACATATAATGACACACCAGTCACAAGATGATAATACTTATGAACAAATTATTGAACAACCCCATACCACCGCTTTTCAGTCTCAAAATAATCATTTTTTTAGCCCACGATGAGCCGCCAACTTGGATCACTACACCGATCAAATTCCCACCCAACCAATCTTACCTCTCCAATCCCAATAATACCACTTTTTGCTTTTCCGCCACCCGATTTTCCATCTAGTAATGTAACATCAGGCATGAATTCCGACACTAATTCACACATCTCAGTTTTATATTCCATCTCACAACTCAATAACCCGAATATTGAAACCCCCGATGAATTTGCCGACTCAGAACCATCCCCATCCAATAATTTTCATAACTCTTCTAATTTTTCTCAACCCCCTTTTCAACCCATATTATCCAATAACCCTGACCCAATCACTCCCACACCCTCTTATGCTTCCCAAGTTACCCCAACCTACTCCTCATACCATTCTGACCAATCATCTCATTCTCCAGACACACCCCGAATCTCCCCAGAGCTAGATAATTTTATTACCCTTCAACAACAACCCTACCACCTTAATACCCCAACCATAAACCAAATCTCCTCCACAATAAATTCATCCAACCCCCCTACCCCTACACCCTCTTCAAATTATACTGAATCATTAGCACCATCATCCACATCAACTGAATCTTCACTCAACACTAATAGAGCTTACCGCACTTTTAAAAGAAAGTTCCCCAACCATCCTTTCCCAGCAAAACCAGGAACAGCCCGTGAATACATCAACCACCCCAAGCATACTAACACAAAAGAATTTTTAGCCATCACCTTACCCTCATTCCCACAATACACCTTAAACACCCCCCACGACACTAACGAAACACGCAACTTTGTAGATGAATACGTTTTAATGCCCACTCTCTCTTGGACCTCATATTATCATTTTACTAACCCTCTTTGCTTACCTTTATCTAACACTCACATCGATATAGAGCGAAATACGGACATGCTATATCGACTCACTACACCACTAACCGCTAGACAATTTACTTACGTTGGATATAAAAAATCACTAAAAACACACACTGCACCTAGAGCTAACGAATATACACTCGAATACTATGATCACAACATCATCAGAGCTAACCAAGATCAATTCTTAGACGACGATCGCTTCGCTAATCCACAAATTACTGAGAAATTTTTCATCAAGACACCATATATATTTACACTAAACATCTTCGACCGAAAGTTTGATCACATTATTTCAGAAGCACTAACAGACACACAAGCATACGAAAGTTTTAAAGAACGCTTCCAAATATTTTTACTAACCTTTCATTTCCTTGCACCACACGAAAGAGATTTACACTGCTCACACGATATTATGTTGCGCACTAAACAAACCCACACATATAGTTATTATCGCTTCATCCAAAATCACTTTGACCTACACACACCCTCTAGACAACCACACCATCGTTTTCAATTCATTAATTCCAAATACACTTCACCATTTTTCCTAAATTTCACATATTGCATTAAAGATACTAACCTTCATGGTATTCTTCGTAATTATGACCCCATAACCCAAATGTACATCTTCTGTCCCATCACCAAGACCTTCAACGCCGAAGAATCCCGACCCTTCCTTATCCCGCACGAGTTTGTACAACCTATAGAAATCCCAATTTTAGAATTCATCCACAACACTAAATTCAATCACAAATTATATAATCTAATCCAAAACACACCTTATGAGTTTGCAGTTGGCACTGAAGAACTAACCACTATCAAGGCACTCCAATTGCTTTGGCCACTGCTTCAAACTAAAAATATCATCCGCATCTTAGCTAAACTACTAACAACTTCAGAACTAATTCACGACATCTTCCCCCACGGTTTTTTCCCCGACGACTAACAGGTAAGTATGAATTAAATGAATATTACTAACTAATTAAAATATTAAAAAACTCACCATACTTTATTCATGTTTTCTTTAGATTTTTAGCCTTCATCCGACGATCACCTACAAAAACCACAAAAGACAAATAAAAATCGCAAATTTCATCAAACAGATTTCAAAAATTCTATTCATCTCTTACACTTATAGATTTATAAATTTAATACCAATGCAATAAATTCATTTCTAAAATTTTCCCCACAAGCAGTAAATCTAATTATGATGAAAATTTGTAACTTAAAATTCCCCCATAACTAGCAGTAAATTTTCAAATTCTATGCAGTAAATTAATAAAATGCAAATGCAGTACTAACCTTTTGATATTATCATTCATTCGCACAGAAATTCTATCCACACTCGCACAGCTCGCCCACGAAGAATTGTTTAAAATAATGAATTTCAGTTTCAAGTTTTCACACTCAACAACTCTAACATATAATAACATGTTTCAAACTTTCCTTTAACCCGGTTGGAAAGGAATCATATACTAAACAAAACTAACCAACGCAGCTTACTAAATACCACAAATCATAGAATAACAGCATGACTAAGAAAAGGAAACCAACGGTACCCAAACCGGATTAACCCAGTTTAAAACTGGATAATTTATTCTTTTGAAGACTATTATAAAGTCTAAGAAAGAAATAATAAAACACAAAAAAGTCGAAAGACAAACCCATACCACGAACAATTTGATTTTTGGAAAAAGGACATAACCAACAAGACATAAGAAAAACCACAACAAACCCAACATAAAACGTTGTCACATAACAGGACCCCTCACAAAAACCGCATGAAATCATACTCCCACTCCTGGCCTAACCCACCAGGAAGGACGTCCTGAGCATGCTCTATAGCCGGCCTAACCCACCGTGCTACATCCACGCTTTGTGACCACACCTCTATTTTTAATAAGAGCTACTCAAGTGTGAGTAACTCTTCAAAATAACCGAACTAAAACAAAAAGCTTTTGTGAAAACAACTAACAAAAATCATAATTAAAAAATATTAAACTAATAAATGTTTTATAAAATGTAAATTACATTATGCAATACATAGATCAGAATACAACACCAAGGACGAACATCTAAAGACAAAACGACCCCACTACGCTCGAGAGAGAATGGCCAACCACAATCGATATGCCACTCACAATCACAACTCAAAGGATTTAGAGTACGACTTGACTTCGCAGAAAAGGACTTCATTGAACTAGACCAATGACCACCTCGATGTTCAAGTATACGTACAGATCCGAGTAACCAGACATCCCCTCCACGCACAATCTCCACGCCATTCCCAAACTAGATCAGACACAAAAGAAGTTCTCCACGCAGAACAGAAAAACCTGACATAGCAAACCATTCTGAAATCAGATTTGAGTTTGTTGCAAAGACTTAATCGTTGTCACTAGAAGACACAACGTCTTATGTCTCTAACTCCAGCTTCCTGGAACTTCTTTAACAAAAAGGAAACAGAAGAAATAAGATGTTCGCCAAACACCAACTTCCATCATCCATCCTTCGAATTGCAGAAGAACTATTCTAAAAAACTCTGTAAAACCCGGATGGGTGGAACCTGATCTAAACTATATTTTATGATTGGATAATTTAGATATTTTACCAATGTAAAGTATTTAATATTAACCAATCATGATCCATCTAACTAACAACCCACTTATTTGTAAGTGCTGAAGTTACTTGTAATTTCAGCACCAGAGAGATTTGAATTTAACTTAGAAATTAGTTGGACTCTCCCGAGCACTTCAGCAGCCGCAATAAACCAGTTACCCTAGATCTATTGAGCCTAGCAGAGACTAGTTAAACAACCTGAGACTAGATAGTATAAGAGTAAGATTAGGATCGGTATTAGACTAAGAAGTTGCACGAATCTATCCGGCCGAAAATAAGATAGCGTGACGAGCAGACGGTGTACCCTATCCGAAATTACTCTATGAGTTATACACTTCGGTCCTAACTCAAAATACCGGGAAACCATATTTTTATGATTATTATACAGCGAAAAAATTTATAATTTTTTTTCTTAACAGTCGAATAATTCATTCAGAAATTCCTTACTTACTTCCTTTTGATTTACTTGATAAAGTTTTGCCAAGCTCGGTTTTTATCAAGTTAAGCAGAAGAGGACTTTTCTGAATGATCATCTGATCGAAAGTATTCCAAAATACAATTTCAAAAAATTAATTGTCTAGTTTGTCTGTTTGGCCGGTTTTCAGTTTGAGGGATATGTTGACGGGTGCAATACCTTAGCTGTCAATTTGAATTTATTCTTAAATCATGAAAAGGGTGAAAAACGACTCCGGAATCTTCACTTTATAGATGCCCATAAGCTCTTATGCAAAAACTAACCTCAAACTTAATCTAAAAGAACTCACTACTGTTTGATGGAGATTGATTGCTCACTTTCTGGTCCAAAGAGTCCAAGCGTTCATCTACACAAGACTGAAACAAACAAACAAACAAACAAAATCATTAAAGTTTGAAGATTCAGAGACTGCAGAAATTCCGAACACCTAGTTTGAAAAAACGTTGGACATTTTTTAAAACAAAAGATCAGAAGTACCAAAACCAGAAGTACCAAAATCAGAAGTACCAAAATCACGTCGCACGATTTTCGAGTGAAATGCTAGATGCGAATGCCTTTTTAATCGTGACTCAGACTGATTGTAACATTACGCAAAAAAATTTTGGTTTCAAGAAAAAAAAACAATTTGAATAAAATTTAATTTTGAGCAAAGTATATATTCTTTGACGAACGTGTCATTTTTTGCCAATAAAACCAAACGTTTAATACGATTTCAAAGTTAACAGATTCAAAGTTTCTATATCATCATAAGAAATTGTGACAACTCAGCCTGTCTTCTATTAGAAGTAAGGTATAGCGTAAAGAAACAAGACTGCTCGTACAGAGCGAAGCCCTGAATGTTCCGACTGCCTTTTACGGTCTAGAGAGTAAGAATCGTTTTTAAAAAAATTTGTTAAATGTCTCAAATTGGCACTTACTGACTTGACTGTCTTTAAACCCTCATATTTTTGTAAAAAATGATCACAGGTGAAATATTTGCTTGAGTTAACAACAATGTCTTTCGAATGATATAAAAAGACAACTAGTTAAAAAGTCAAAATTGAACTGGAGATAAAACCATCCTCACCATTCAAAAGATCCCCTTTTTAAAATTTTCCCATAGCATCCGTTTTTGGCTGACCAACCCTAAACATTATTAAAACGAGCCTTTGTTGTTAAAATTTAGTCATTTTCAAGGGGAGCTTTCAAGGAAATTATGGAATCTTTTGTTTATAAAGTTCCTAAAAATTGCCTAGGAACGGCATTTTTGCTTGCGGCGCGGAAAATTTTCAACCATTTGCCTGCATTGGCGATATAGGGTTTGTATACTGTTCTGGGAGCGCTCGAAAAAAAATTTGGTCCACCTAAAAAAGTGGACAACATTTTGGAAATTATATTTTTGGAAAATCCTAGACGCGCCTCTGCTTCTATTTGTTTAATAGTTTTGGCCTCATAATTCTTTTAAATTTTTATTTCAAACCTATCTCAAATATTCAGGTACTATTTTCCTTTCTTTGGCAATATTCCAAAAACCAAAAAATCTGAGCAGAGAATTCATACACTCCTTCGGTTCTCAATATTTTGATCTTTTGTTCGAAGGCATTTGTTTTTCCAACTTTTTGTTTGTTTTTCATCGAAAGTTTTTAAGCAAGCAAGTTTGAATATGGTTGAGTCTGTAGAAAACTGGACATAGATTCATAAGTAACCCCCGCCTTTAATGGCAGTTTATGCCGTTGGAATTTCTTAGCCAAAAACTCAGCCAACCCTCATTACCGTTTTTCTCAGGCACAAAATTAATTCACTACCAAATTAAATTTTTTGTTTATTTGTAAGCTGAAAAACTGCTCTGAAGCTTTAAAAGAGCTAAATTTTTTTGATTTGTTGTCGAGATGCAAAAAAAACATATGTAAGTAGAAAACTGACCGTTTTTTTGTCTTTTAAATTATTCTTAAACTGTATCTAGAGCAGTTTTGTATTTTTCAGACAAATCACCCTGACTTTTGGTACATCAGATTTCATTGTGGCAAAACTTTACTTTGAATTTTTCAACTTCTGAAACGAGTTTTTCTGAAAATCAATATGCAAGCAGACCACGAGCTGATTATGAATTAACTTGCTTAAGCTTTTCTCAATTCCTTTTTGCAAAACTATAGTCGGACTAAATTTGAATTTTGCACAGCAAATCGCTTTTATTATAATTTGATTATCGAGTCGATTAACTTGTTTATGGGTTTATTTTCTCTCGGTAATTGAAAATATTAAATTCGAAAAAAGGCGTAATTAATGCCAGAAAAAAGTGATGAACGTCAGCATCAGGGTAAAAGTGTTACTGAGGAAGTAACTAGTCTAAGAAAAACGTTAAGAAACCGGCCAAGGTAATCATCTAGTGAAACTTCATTAGAATAAAACGTGAAGGGTCCGATTTCTTAAAACTTTTTAATCTTATATGGTGGGTTGCTGTTCAAGTCGGTTTTGATTACTTCAAAGAAAAATCACATGGGTTTAAACGAGTATGCTAAAGCGGTGGTGTCCCTCATGATAGAGGGACCGAATGTTGAAACATTATTTCCATTTATTTTCAGCCAATCAGAATTGAGTATTCAAAAATCTTACAGAAATCGCAAAATCTCAAAGAAGAAGAATAAATCTAGGCCATAAAAATATTTTTGGCCGATTAGAAAGTGAGCGGATACATAAACTTTCGAATATTGTGAAATTGAAGTCTTCCAATGGAAAAACGTACAACCGATTCACGAAAAGTAGAAAATAAAACAAAAAATTTTCATGGAAAAACGTACAATAATTTAAGAAAAAACTTAAAAAATAAAACAAAAACTTTTTGCTTATCCGCACAAATTGTAACGATTCTAATTGGTTGAACGTTTTCCATTATTTGGACCCTCCATGATAAGAATACCTACCTGTTAAAGCTCTTTAAATCATGATGCAATTACTATGAAGCTAATTCGAAAAAGTTTTGCGTTAAAAAAAATTGGTACGAAGTTTTTGCTAATCAGATTCAAATTAACAGAATACTATTTTTATATTTCTGCATTTGGAAATTTTTGTGCCGCCCTAACTGGCTGCTCTTGTTTTGTTTTGTTTGTGATTTCTATGAAAATTGGTCGAAAGACTTCCAAAAAATAGTTGAAGCTCAGTTTTGACATATTCGTCCGTTTCCATTAGTGCCGAACAGAACTGGCAGACTTAATATAACCGATTAAATATTCATTCAATTTCAGGGGGGGGGATTACTTTTTGAAATTCTAAATTAGGTACACATCTATCCAGAAAGAGTTTTTCAAGGAAATGAAATGTTGAGACATTCAAAAATTTTCCCTGGTTGAGACAATTTTGAGAGACGAAACATTCAAAGGTTTTCCCAAAAATTTAGCTGTATGCGAAAATTTCATTTGAGTTTGATCCAAAATAGGTCACCTTTGCGACGCCGACGTTGCTCAAGACTCCTTCCTTCCACAATGTATCCATTTTCCGGGTTGACAAAATGGTACACTTTGCAGCTCCAGTGCATAATTTCATTTCGATTCTGGTCACTTTAACTGTACAAAACACAATGTCCTTCAATAGGAACCCGGCAACCAGTCCTGCTTCTGCTTGATTCACCAGCTAAAATATATGACAGATGCAAAAGTTATTCAATCAATCATGTGAGATACACTCTTGCTGTCTCGAGAATGGAGCGCATTTACTCCTCGGTGCTGCTTGGCAATCCTAAAAATGGAAATCAGATTGAACACTTGATGTCTGTGGAAAAAGATCGCCGAAGTTTTAGATGAATTCTACTTTCTAGTATTTGTTGAAATGGTATCAATAATTATATGATTCAACTTGGTTTTATCTCATAAACTTTCATATAAAGTTTGAGCTTCGTTGCACTGTTCTTTGAGAAAACATAGGCGTTGAAAGTTGTGGCCACATTAAAAAATTACCCTGTATTTTTCTGTATATAATCGATTTTATTTGATTTTGACACCGCGGAATACATTTATTTTTTTGTGCTATGACTTATTTGATTTTGTTGTCTAGCAGGGAGTACAAATCATGATATCACATCTAATCATTCAATTGGTATTGTCCATTTTTTTAAATTTTTTTTCAATAGCATAATTAATTGAAGCTTTAAGCGAACTCTAAACTGAGGTGGCCAATCTGAAGGCCATTATTTTCCCCGCCTCTGAAGTCACAAGGTCAATTGAGATTATATTATAAATAATTTGGTTCATTTTGGTAACTAAACAAGGCGCTGATTGGACACTTTACTCATATGGCTCGTTTTTGTTGGTTCGTTTGTTCACATATGGGCAAATTTCATAATGTGCTTCGGGACGTAGTTGACCATGATTATCGCTGTATAAGCCCATAGGCTGTCAAATATGGCCCGAAAGTATGGACAATTTGCGAGGCTTTGTTTAGGAAGCGTCGTCTAATGTTTTCCTTCTTCCATCAGTAGCCGTATGATAAACTCACTAGGAAGATCTTATTTGTGTTGAGCTGGCAGCTAAAAACCAGCAGGGCTTGAAACCCGATCTGATTATTTGTGCAACATTATTATCCTGAAAATTGTCTAATAGACCTTAGACAGTCGGCAACAATTTGCGGCAAGTGTGGGGGCAGATTAGGGGAACAGCAGTGAACTTGTCGTACCCTCGGGGCGCCATCTCGTTATCGTCAATCAAATCGGATCATAAAGAAACAATAACATTTTTTATTTATAGCCCTTTCTCACGTTACGTCACAAAAACAGAAGGAAAAAAGATTCAAACTGTGAAAAAAGTATTTGACTTAAGATCAGCTTAGCTCTAAAAAGTAAGATGGTTTTGCGTCCAAATGGGGTTTTTTAGCTTTCGTATTGACAACTTTCCAAAAACAAGTTTTAGCTATTAGTTTTGGATAAAATAGGCGGCACCCCCGATTAATCGGCTGGCAATATTGAGTTGAATGTTTGTACATGTTTGGCCCACAGCGTCTGAATGGAGTGTAAATTGCAAACTGACTGCTGCTGTTTCTAAAATTACCCCGAGAAACACTCAACTTTTTCCCTGACTTAGACCGCCGCTGAATATTTCTTTTTGGTTCAAATTATCGACCCTGGAAATAATCGCAGGGAAAACAAAAGTTTCAGCTGTTAAAAATGAGGCCAAACGAATGATGAAAAACACAAGGAAAAAAATTATGACGATACACGGAATTATTACAGCTTGAAAATTTGAGTCAATAAAAACCGTTTCGATATGCCTTCAATGGGTTCTCCAATTTCTCAAACTCAAATCGAAACGAGAAAAATCAACAATTTAAGAGAGTCCTTCTATTTTTTTCATGTGTTTCCTCTATCATGTTATGATTGCTCCGACCATTTGAAAAATTTGAAGGATTTTTGTATTCGTATCTTTTAGTTTTTTTATTTAAAAATTTTTCCACGCATAATCAGCAACCACAAATGTTCATCAGAATATGTTGATGGATATATCATATAAAAGCCCTTTCAGTCGTGATTCTAACGACAATTAAAAACATTGAAAAAGTTGTTTCAGTGTCAAGAAAACCCGGTTTTAAAATTTTCATGTTTGATGCAGCCATGAATTTCAGCTATCGTTGTGATGTCGGTTCCTATTTGTTAAAAATATCAAAATTCACATGCGAAAAAGTTTTTTAAAACCCATCCGCGTCTAAATTCTTCATTGGTTCAACTGCAAACTGCATCCAGCGAGCATGAGTTTTAATCAATTATAATGGATTCATGAGACTAAATTAATCATTAGCCAAAACAAATGTAAGGTTCAGACCAAAAAAATGATATATTGTTATTATAATCAAGTAATTACGAGAAAACTAATCCATTTTTGGCAAGGACATCGACTATTTTGGTCAAGATAATCCATTTTAATCGATTATTTTACAAACAAAAACAATTTAAAATTCATTTAATATGTGATAATCCAATTAATGCAAAAATCAATTTTAGTTAAAAATCATTGTACTAAGAAGTGCAAGGATTATTTATTTTTTTTAGTGCAAAAATCAATTTTTATTCAAAAAAATCTATGCAATTTTTATTCAAAAAAATCTATGCAAAAAAATCTATGTCTCTTAGATTTATAACAAGCAAAAATTAAAAAGTCCCCCACCCCTTTTCCCCTACGTTTAATCCCCCTACCCCTTCCCCTCCACTTTTCCAGTCCCCCAGTCCCTCCATTTTACCAGTCCCATAACCCCCTCCTCCTCCTCCTCCTCCTCCTCCCCCCCCCCCCCCCCCCAACACCCAAATTGGATTTAACCCATTGTTCATGAATTTTAATCAATGAGTTTGTTGTTTTATAGATACTGATTTCAGTATATTCGATTATAAAAATTGAATTATTATTCTACAATAGTTCAGATTAGAGAGAAGATAATTTTTTTCAAGAACAGTAAGCAAATTCTTCCTACATAGACATCATTCAGTAACATAAGTTCATTTGTCATTGCAACCGTGTTCTTAACTGAGGAATGAGCAATGCTTCTTGTTTGAAGTTTTCCTCAAGAACAGAAAAATCATGAGAATATTTCAGCTCTTGCAGAAAAAAAGCTATTCTAAAACTACTGAGCTCTGATTTCACGACTGCAGTTTGAGGCCAATTCGACAAATATTAGTTTGAAAGTTTAATAATCGTAAAAAGTTTCTTTCATATTTTATTCAATTTATCCTCCACGGTGATGTAAACTACAAAAATATCTTTTTAGCGTCTTGTACCTAAATAATACGTAAATTATCTGCCTCAATGCAATTTGAGCGCATTAATTGCATGCTTACGAGTGTTATGACTTGAGAGCGCAATAAGTAAAATGCGTTAATTATCACAAAATTGGCCAAACTAGAAATTTTCAAAGCCCTATAAATTTACAAAATGATCAATGGGAAATTTTTTTACACTTGAGCCCCAGGCAACAAAATTTTTCAGATGGTGTAATAAAACTCTGTCAAAATGCTTAGGTAAAAAGTTGACAATTAAGAAAAGAAGGCTGCTCGTATCAGGGCAAAGCCCTGAATGTTCCGACTGCCTTTTAAGGTTTATGAAGCAGTAATAACATTGAAAAATTCAAGGAATTAAGACAAAATGAAAAAAAAAATTCTAAAATTTGAATTTTTTAATGAAAATCATCCCCCACACGCCATATAAAGTACAAAGGGATAGATTTTGCTCCTTGTAACAAACCAATTATGGCGATTAAGCTTCTTTTCACCAATTTGGAACGAGTTCTAAGACGGATTAATTCACCGCTTACGCGTTAATAGGGCGAATTATATCGCGCGTTAATTGTCCCAAATTGGCCAAAATGGCAATCTTTGAACCCCCGTAACTTTACGAAATATGATCACAGGTCAAATATCTTTCAAATTGAGCTCAGGACATCAATACCTTTCGAATGATATTAGAAAATTCCGTCAAAAATGGCTAGTTAAAAATTCAACATTTTTCTGAAGAAAAAAAAACCCACCCGAGCATAAATATCGAATATCGAGCACAAATATCGAGCACAAATATCGTATATCGATATCGTATCGAAAGACGGAACAAAAGAAAAATTAACCCAATTATAAGATTGCGCTTTTTCTTTAAGGCTGAAACAAAAATAGTTTCCAATGTTTTAATTTTTTTTGAGTATTTTACAGCTTTTTGTGAGCTCAAAAGTAGAATCGCTTGTTAAAAGCAAAAGTTAGTCAAATGCTGCAATTGAAAATTGATCGACAAGCTAAACTTATGAAAACAAGACTGCTCAAAAAAATTACAACTTTTTTTCAATTTTGAGCTCAGACAAAAATTTCGGTCAAAGTTTGCAACTTAAAAAATTTTGGCAAGCATCCAATCCGAGCACAAACATTTCGTCGCTTTCTTTGAAAGCCAAAACAACAAGTAAAAAATAGTTCAATTTGACAAACACTGTCTTTTCTCTTCGCGAGTGAGCCACGATTTCGTCTCTTCATTTTACTTCGCCGAATGTCGAATTTGAATTTTCAGATACAGCAGAGTTTAATTTCAATCTTCGAAGCAGAATCACTTGAATAAACGTATGGTCCTGTATTTGGCTTTTCACAAAGTTAAACTCGTGAGTTAAGGAGCTCCTAACTCTACTTTTTTTCTCCACTTATTGTTCCGACTTTCGATACGAAAGTAACGGAATATTTGTGCTCGGGTGGGTTTTTTTCTTTTTAACTAGCCATTTTTGACGGAATTTTTTTAGATCACATTTTATATATATATAATTGACTTTTAAGGGCTTTGTTGGATACTCATTTAATTATTTTATTTACAGATAACATTTAAACTTTCTAGACTATCAATTAATAGGAAAATAGTTGAACAAAAATTTTACAAATGCTTTTTATTTGAGTTTTTCTTTTTTAATGTTTGGCTTGAAAATCGTTCATGATGATATCTAATATTTAAGTTCTACTCTCATTACAGCGGGAACCTTTAGTTTTGAAACATTTGAAAGGAAGTCCCTTAAACGCAATAGTTTGCTGTAAAAATTTCACCTCCTGGAGTCATTCTTGCTCTTTGTAGCTCTTATGGAAGTTTTCTTGAGTATATAACTTTGATCAGGCTTCGAAACAAAAAAAAATAGTTTAGTTAAATCAGTTTTGTTGAGATTTTTTCATTTTTTTTCTTTTAGTTGAAAATCCATATATTCCATTTACGTATCTAAATGGGCTATCGTAAATCGATTTCTATACAGTATATTATCTGTAAAAAAATCGATTTAAATCGGTTTCAATCTCAACTTAGGACGAGATGTCCTAGTTTTTCAAGCAATTTTTGAAACGTATAAAATAAATGGGCAGGTTTTTACTAGCCTTTTTTTGTTGACACAAGCATTTCACCGAAAAAAATTATGAAAATGTTTTTTTTTTCAACTTCTTTTTGCGCAAAAAGAAACAATTATAGGCAGATAGTTACCCCAAACACCGGAGTAAAAAAAAACTAAACTTTCATACAAATATCTATATTTAGAACAGCAAGCATATTCTCTGTTTAGGAAGATCGACTTACCAGCTGCGGAATGAAAGCAAATGAAATAAATGCCAATAAAAAAGCTCTAAATGAAGTCATGTTGATGGAACGGCCCTGACGTAGATAGTTTTTGCGAGTAACTTTCGCGATAAGCTCTGCAGATGTAAAATTTTGCGGTTAAACTTGGTAAAAAAAAGTTCCTAATACTTTTTTCTATTGTACCTAATCAGAAATAAATTATTCTTATATAAATAAAATCAAAGCTACTTCGATGATGATATGGGTTGTACTAATAATCAAAGAAGATATTATTTTTGAATCTCAACAATTTAATTTCAATTAAAGTATTACCGATTTGTTTTTTCTATGTTAAATAACTTTAGATTAAGTTCTATTAAAATTCAATCAGTTTAAATCTCGAATTGGATAAAGCACTTTTAGATATTGTATCATTAATTAGGAACTGTCATTATGGGTGTCAGGGCTTCCTGGAATCTAGCTTCATTTATGAATTTGGAAAACCCAGTTGATTGAATTGGCCAATCAGCGAGCTGGAAAAGAGACTGAGGAGTAGGGGTAAATGAAAGATAGTATTGGTGAAAGATCCAGCTGTGATCCAAATTTGCTCATAAATATGCGACATAAAACTGCTGTTTTACAAGCTGTCCGGAACAACACCTCAAACACTCCGGCTTCAGAGAACCGGCGACATTGGCCGGATTTGAAACTGTTTCTGTTCAAATTAAACTTTCCAAAATGTAAAGCTCCTCAAATGCCTGAAAGTCTAAACATTTCTATTGATCTAATGATCATATATCAGCCATATCTGGAAGAAGAAGAACTGACAACGCAGATACAACAAAAGATACACGAAGTTGAGTCCAAAGCTGAAAGCCAATAAGGACCACTGGTTCACATTTTCGGATGATAACTAATTATAGCTTCCCAAAAATAATATCCTATTGGAAAGTCTTTTTTATAATAACAATATCTATGGAAAGTCTATTTTTTCAATCACTTATAATAATCATTTATCTCAAATTTGACAAAGTAAAGCAAAAGAAAACGAAAAAAAAAGAAATTATGCGATCCATATTTGATTTTTCAGAAGCACGCAAGCAAATGAATAAAATATTCCATCTTGTTTCTCATGGAAACTTAAAAAAAGCTTTCTGAGGAAAAAAATTATGGCTAGTGGCCGAATTTGATGGTTCAATGAGCAGATTGATTGGTCATTATGGCTCATTCTTTGCAAGTTACCGATCATTGTTTGCTTCGAGACCGGCTTTTAGAAGCCACGCAGGACTAAAAACGCCGATTTCTGAATTGAGATCATACGTGCTATTTTTGGTAAATACGCGGATTTCATTAAATTGAAAAAAAATAAATTGATAAGCTCAAAAAATATTTAGCTGTTTACGGCTCATGGGCCCTATAATTAACAAATTAAGGGACCAAAAGTCTATTTCAGACAACGAGTGGGACGATTCAATACAATTGAATCAAAAAAGTTGTTCCAGTACTGAATTTTTTTCGAATACTTTTTGTTTATCATAAAAAGCCTCACTCAACTTTGAACCACATTCAAAAAATGGGAGACGGCTGATGACTCAAAATTATTTTGGGTAAAGTGTTTTTTTTCTGAGCTTGAAGAGCCAGTCAGTGAGTGCAGCTGGATCCTTTTCAAAATATCAACTGGCTCAAATCGAAACTGTTTTCCAAGTAAAAAAAAATGAAATTTTATTGAAAGTTACACTACGTATGAGTTAATTCTATAAAAAAATCGAGCGTTTTGAACGTTTCAAATTGCCGAGAAAGTTGTGCAGTTAGACTTCTTGTAAGAACTCAAGTAATTCTTATCCTAAACATTCGTAAGTCAAAGGTAGAGTTGCGAATCAATTCTTCTTGAAGCAATGTTTTGGCACCCTCTTTTGGTTCTGGATGTTGACTTTCAATTAGCCATTTTGAGCAATGTTTTTTATTCTATCTGAAAGGAAGTGACGCCTTGAGTTGAAATTTTGTTCATTAACATTTTTGGGAAATTTACGTTCCGACTTTTGGAAGAAAGTGCGGAATATTTAAGCTTGGGGTGGTTTTTTGTTCCCTCAATTTTCGACTTTTTCAATAAACAGTTTTGACGGAATTTTTTGTATCATCTGGAAGATATTGTTTTCTTGAGCTCATATGTCATAATATATTTTACCTATGATCGTTTTTTGTAAAAAAAAAAATAGGGGTTTGAAAACTTTTAGTTTGGGCAATTTGGGATTGTTAACGCTCGATATATTGCGTTGCTATAACAAGCGTAAGCGGCCGAATAATGCGTTCTAAATTAAAATGAAGCAAGTAATTTGGTAATTTTATTAGGATGCAAGACGCTAAATATATCCATTTGCAGTTTACATTAGCGTGTGTGGCTTACAAAAAAATGAAGTGTTTTTTTTATTTCGATTAGTTCGTCAAGTTTTTTTCTAATACAAACTTTTAAACTGACCTTAAAATGCTTGAAATGTTTCACCCTGATATGCGTGCAGTCTTTTAAAAAATGATAAGGGTTTGAAGACTGCTAATTTGGCCCGATTTAGTTTTTAACGCGCGAAAAAATTATTTGTTTTTAAGCTTCAGTGGAAGTTTGATCTGGCTAAGAAATCGTTCCAAATTAAATTTTCGCGAACTATGCGACCTTTTTGATACACTATTAGACGCTAAGCAAACACCTCGCACATTTTATAGAGCGCTTAAGGCGAAGGTTTCAAAAATTGTATTCAAGAGGAAACCCTCATTTCTGAAAAGTTTATCAGTTTTCTAACTTCTCAACAAGATTTTATTCAAAGCAATGAAAACTTTCAGATTTTGACACGATACAAAAAGTCTTGCTAGTTGAGTGTTATTTTGTCGGGTGTTTGTATTCGCGAAATTTATCCTCTAATTCGTTTTTCAGGGCTGTTTTGAGCGGAATCGTCAAAACTTTCAGTAGGAAAACATTTATGGTAATGTTGTTCCGGCCAATAAAGGCAAAACAACAGTTGAGCAAAGTGAGGTTAAAGGCTGAGTACTGCTTTATTTGTCTTTCTTTTTTTTGAAGAACCTAATAAAAATTTTCAAATTAAAAAATAAGAAACAAAACTTACTCGCGAAAGACCTCTGTCAGAAAGTTCGTCAACAACCCCTGAAAACAAAGAAAGGAAATTTAAATTTTTTTTCAAAAATCAATTTGAAGATCAAAGCCTTTAGCAAAATTTTGTGAACAGAATCAGTTCCAATTTGAAAATTTAACTTAAATGTATCATTTGAAAAATCGAAAAACATGACTAACAATAACCCAGACTCGGTTAAAAGAAAAAACAACCGATTAAAATATGATTATTTTTAACTTTTTTTCACACTATGATTAAATATTATTGATTGTGATGCAGCACTTTTGACTACGAACTTTTACAATTTCAATAAAATCACTAAAAATGTATCGTTTTAATGGATTATAATTCTTTTAAACATCTAAACTTGCGCTAATAATTAATTATAATGTGAGAAAAAGTTTAAAATTAATTGTTTTTTAATCGTTTTAAAAAAAGTTTTTTTTTTCTTTTACCCTATTCTGAGCGATTGTTCGTTTAAAAAAATTATAATCTATTAAAATCATAAATTTTTAGTGATTTTGTTGAAATTGTAAAAATTAGTAGTCAAAAGTGATAAATCACAATCAATTATGTATTTTTTATATTATTAGCCTAAAATCTGAAAAAACACATTATAATAATTTTTTTGATTATCTATTTTACAAAACTTATTTCTCAGATAAAATGATTGCTAAAAAGGATTATAAAAATTCAAACAAAAATGATCATTAAAAAAGAAGAGGAAAAACTAAATTTTCTGACTGCCCCTTGAAACTTTCAACTTATTTTTTAACGTTTTAAATATTCCTTGTTGGTGTTATTCTCTATTATAAGCTATTAATTTTAAACAGAAACTTGTTCTTTGAAAAGATAAAAAGAACAACAGATTGACAACAAAAAAAATAAAAAAGCAGTTACACAGTTTTATCTGGTACAAATTAGTTAAAATGACACTCTGGAGCATCCTATTATAAAAAAGAAAAAGGTTTTAAATGCTTTTAACAAAAATTGATCGTATTTGATCAAGATTAATTTCTCCACTTGATAGATTATTCTTTTTTTCAGGGGAAAGGGTTAGTTTACTCGTTTGTTCAAGTCAAGAACTTTTAAAGCCTTCTGTTCACAATTTCTGAATACTGTTACTAAAACAGTATAGTTTTTTCCTCCTCCGCCTGCATCCCCTACAGTTCAAAATTTGCTCCTATTGTTTGATTGTTTTGAACATTGACACGTTGACTAATAAAGCGATGATAAAAAAACTTAATTAGTCTTCATAATTAACCGTGAAGTTACGGAGAGGGTAAGGGAGGAAGAAAAAAGCCAATTAATTGTTAAACGCATAAATTATTTTTTGACTTTCAATTTATTCATATCAATTGAAAATCAAGAAAATGGAAACATAGGTTGATTACATTCAAAACATAATTCAAGCACAAGTATTGGTAAACGATGCCTGCAGCAAGTATTGTACCACGAAAGGTTGTTCTGCGTGCGGCATTTACATCGTGCTGCAAAGGCAAAGGTTTTTTTGCCGGAGTCTCTTTAATTTCATTAATAAAATTTTTTTGGTCTGCCTTTTCGAAGGTAATAAAAGTTGTGCGGGAAGCGAACGGTTTATCTTCTGCAATTGAAAAGGTAATTAAAATTGCGAGATGGTTTGAGCCTAGCTTCAAAAGATTTTGCCATGAAACATTCAATAAAATGGATGTCGAGCCCAGTGAAATATCTGGAGATGATGCTGACGTGTTACTATTGTATGGGACTCTAGTTTGATTATAGTCATTTGATGGGGTAGTCTTAGATTCAGTAATTTTGGCCCCCAGTCAGGACCCTTGTTGGTCTTCCGGGATATTGGAGTACCAAAAGGAGAAGTGGGCACTAGCAAAACTGAGGACGTTGCTGTTTTCATCGGATAACAGAGCTGGAAACTTTTTGAGGCAGCTAGAACGGGGAGAGATGTAAAAAGATGTAATACGTAGATTTTAGTTGCTGATTTTTACTCATTTTAACCTCCCTGTTAAGGTTAAAATCTTTGTTAAAAAGAATTATAGAGAATTAAAAGCTTTGTTAAAACCTTTATAAGAAGAAAAATAAGGTCTGGGTCCGTAATGCGCGTCCAAAATTCCGCCTTTCATTGTTTCTAGTTCCTCGTATAGAAGGGAGTTACGAATGATAGTGAGGATCCACGTCCCTCTCAAGTACAGTCCTATCTAATAATTTCATATTTTGTGCCAAACGAGGTGTTGCTACTTTTCAAGACTAATTTCGTTTCTTGAAAAACCGCGATGTGGTTTCGGTAATTGCATAATAAGGCTTCAATTTTGTGTGCTTTCCCAGAGATCCCATTGCATTTTAATTGCAGGATGTTCAGCTACTTGGTACAGAGGGAGTTTGCTTGATTGATTGAGGGCTCGTTGCAGTAGAGGGGTTTGTGTCATGACGACAATTCGGAGTTTGATTGGTTAGAAGGGGACTGTGCTCACTGGGTGTGAATTAGTAGTTGGAGGTAGGTTTGTTACGTGGTGTCGATTAAGGTTAGTTTTCTTAGTCACATGAGGGGGCAGTATATAGGATTCAGTGCGGGA